ACTGCACAAAAGTACGAAAAAAATAAGTTTTGCTTTTAATGGTAATGAAAATTTGTGCTCCAGATCATTAAAATCTTAAACGTTATCTTCGAATTCTGGTCATAATAATGCTAATTAATTTAAGAGAAGTGCTTTCCGGGTAGTATAAAATTGCTTTGAGGGCCGAAAGCGGTTCCCTGTCCTACAGTCTGAAACCATCTACAATCCGTGATGAAGTTAATTTCAAGTAATTTCTTTCCAAGGCTAAATAAATTTATCAGAATAATTTTGTAGAGTTATTAGATTTTTAAATGTAGGAAACGTGAAAAATGAGCAGTGCCGTTACCGGACTCGAACCTGGACCTCTCAAATACGCGCCAAGTGTGCTATCGTTGCACTATGGAGGCATGAAGAAAGGATGGGAGAAAATACCTTATATACTCCCCCTTTTAAAAGGCGACTGAGGATTAGCAGACCCAGTCGCCAAATCCTGGTGATAAAGAATCATCATTCACCACCTTTTTAGTTCGGGCGCTACTTTAGTATCATTAGGATGTTTTTTTTGAAGCAGGAGTACATGGAAACTATGCAATGCCCTCGCCGGGACCCGAACCTGGACTTCCCAAATACACGCCGAGTGTGCTACCGTTAAACCACGAAGAGGGAGAAAATACCTTATATACTCCCACTTTAAAAGGGCGACTTTAAAAGGAGCCCCAGTCGGAAAGGAGAGAGAAAATGCCTTATAACTTTACCAAATGACTTTAAATCAAAATCAATTGTTAAAGCAGTGGTAAGAATTTGTAATTACTCATGTATCAACATATGTATTTTTATTTAGTTATGCGTCGAAGGAAATTTAATGAATAAGAGAAAGATACAAGGTTGTCATTATTTATTCTCAAGCTTTGTTCCAGTTGGTAAATTTTGCACTGGAATGAGTTATTTAATGATAAATTAACCAAGATAGAATTATTTGGAAGAAATTCTAGTCCGAGAATTTAATATTTAGATGTCACTGTAATTGAATTACAAATTATAACTAATAAAAAGGTCTTTCAGGTACCATTCTTTAGATTTCAGATAGTAAATAAATATAAATTAATTTTTTTCCCTTAAGAGTATTATTATTATTGTTGTTTATCTATGTTATGATAAATATTTAGCAATATCGAAAAATAATTTTAAAATGAGCATATCTTTACAATTTCCGATACACAGTCGTGCGCGCTGGAGATAATTTTTTTTTTCGTGCAGTGTTGCCATTGCTCGCTTTGAAATCGTTGAGTTTGTTAATCAAAAATTCTTCAGTGTCTGACAAAATATGAAATAGATAATAAAAAAATTTCAAATTCCAAATTAGGGCTTCCTGATGCCTATATTCGGTGAAGGATTACGTTATTCAAAATTTGGTGGCTCTAGGTACCATTGTTTTATCACAATGCGAGAAACATACATAACTTTACGCAGATTCTTTATTATTTAATTTCTTTAAATATAATACAGGGTTGTAATATTTGATGGCAACAGTTTGAAAAGAGAATCTATGCAAAATACCGAAACGAAATTAATAGCCCTTCTGGGCAAACGCCTTTTGGGCTTATAATAAATTCAGATAAAAGTACAGGTACCACTGCTCTAAAGTTCAATTTTTCCAGCATTTACATCTGAAATGCGCTTTTCTCTTTCATGAGACTGCCATACGTGTTGCTTTCAATGCTTTAAATTAGAGATCCTCTGATACTCCTCTAAAATCAAGTTTTGATTTATGTGAAACATATGGTAGTCATAGCTCAAACTGACTTCCTTTCAGTTAATATGAATGGAATTAAGTTTACGCCTGAGAAGAAAAAAGTTGATATATGCTCAGTTGGTTATAAATCTTTACATCCCGAAGTTCTATTTAAACTTTTTATAGTTTTTATTCCATTACTAGGGTTAAATTTATAAATTACTTTAAAAAAAGTAGCAGAATTATTCTCACGCTTTCTTGTAATCAAAAAAATCAATAAATGTTACAAAATCAATAAATGTTGATTCATTTAATTTAACATTTTTGTTAAAGGTTAAATCTTTTTCATAACAATGAAGTAACTAAAGCATTGCAGTAATTAATTAATTTATTCAGTAAGTAGTGCAGCTAGAAAGGTTTAATATAATCATAAAGAAATAATAAAAAATGCTAAAAAAATACTACACTCATGTCCATAAATTAAGGATAATTCGGAGTCACGCAGAAATCGAACTCGAAAATAAATATATCATCTGTAAAATCGCTACACACAGTTTCAAGAATCATATGCAAATTTCAGGAAGTAACCAGATGACACCAATGGTACGTCACAATGACAAGAGTGTAAGAGAGCGATATACTATAAGGAATACAGGCAAAGAAGTAAAATTTTTCGCAGGCGCTTTTATAAGCATTTCAGTGCAATAACCGAATAGTTATGACACAAAGGACGCATTTGGATGATTTTTTACGTGGTAGAATTATCGGCCGTCTGGAATGTGGGAGTACCCAACTGGACGTATCAGACGAACTTGGAATTGCCCAGAGTGTCATCTCCAGGCTTTGGCAACGATTCCATGATGATGGTAATATGAGTAGACGTTACAGCACAGGTCGCCCTAGAGTTACAACGCCGAATGAGGACCGGTATTTGGCAGTTACTGCCAAAAGAAACAGGCGGAGCACAGCCTCAGACCTGTCTCGTCAGCTCTCTTCAGCCACTGGTACGACAATTTCAAGGCAGACCGTGTACAGACGCTTAGGGAAGATTGGTCTATATGTTCGTAGACCTGTCAGATGCGTTCCACTTACTGCGGTTAGTCTGGAGTAGAGAGCATGCATTGTTGACACCGCAACAGTGGGCTTGTGTGATGTTTTCCGACGAGTCCAAGTTTAGCTTGCAGTCTGATTCTCGCCGGACTTTCATATGGAGAGCTCCAGGTACCCGTTACCACCAAGAAAACATCATTGAACGACACCGTTACGGTGGTGCAGGAGTGCTCGTTTGGGGTGGAATTATTCTGAGTTCCAGACCTGACCTACATGTTCAAATTGGAACCATGACAAGCCAAATCTATCGGGACGTCATTCTGGAACAACATGTACGTTTGTTTCGGGGCGCCATGGGCGCACAATTTGTGTTTATGGATGTCAACGCCCGTCCTCACCGTGCAAATATCGTAAGCGAATGCCTGCAATTGGAGGATATCACCCGTATGGACTGGCCAGCATTCTCACCGGACTTGAACCCAGTAGAGTATGTGTGGGACATGCTTGGCTGACGAGTTGCAGCCCGTCAACCTCCTAGTACATGTCTACCGGAACTTCGGAGAGCATTGCTTTTTGAGTGGTGTAATATCCCACAAGATCAGATCGATAATTTGATACTCAGCATGCCTAGGCGTTGTACGGACTGCATTGCATCGTCTGGGAGACATACAATGTATTAACAATCATACCAACCACGTAATATTGGTTTTTTGTAAATAGGTTTCCTGTAATTTGCTTCAGGAAGAAAAAATCGCTAATTTTTTTAATAATATCAAACATATAGCATCTTTTTTTTTGTTCTTTACCTTTTGTTTAATAAATAAGCTTTACAAATAAGTCAAATTTGTTTTGCTTCTAACTCTTCCTTTGCCTGATTTTGCATTATCCTTAATTTATGGACATGAGTGTATTTACAGTTCAAGTAGAAAATGATATTTTTCCTCAAGAATAAAACATCACACAAGAAATAATGTGACGGTCACAAACAAGTTAACAGGAAATAATTAATTGCGGTTAGAGGCCTGATTAATGCCAAGTAGCTGAAAATTGTAAAACTGACAGAAAATAACTGAACTACATATAATAAGACAAAAATTCCTTGCGTGTAGAAAGAATTGGCATAATGTTACCTCATTTCTTTTTTCATTTTTTAGAAAAAGAGCTGAAGTTAACTCACAAGGAACACTAAATCTACATGCAGAAGTAAATGTAATCCATCATATATATGCATATAGTAAGTATATAAGCATCGTGTTTACAAAAAGGAGGGTATCTACAAATCACACATTTTCATCAAAATGAATTTGGCAGTTTCTTAATACATCGAATTGTAATATCTTTCCTGTCCTTTAAATCAACGACAAATTAAAAGCGAGAAAATAAATTAATAAAAAAATTTAAAAAATCTGAAAGCTTTCAGATTTTACATTATGCCCAAAGGGGCGTTTTTTTAGCGTCTTGTGTGTTACCTTTATTTATTAAATATCATGTTCTTCGCACTTAAACCATAAAATTCAGTTCAACAGCAATATCGCAAAATAATTTTTAAATGAGCACATTTTTACGCATAATTTCCGATACACAGTCTCGCGCGCTGGAGATAACTTTTTTTTCATACAGTGTTGCCATTGCTCGCTTTGAAATCGTTGATTTTGTTAATCAAAAATTCGTTTAAGTTTTAGAAAATATAAAATAGATAATAAAACAAATTCCAAATTTGGGCTTCTAGATGCCCATATTCGGGTGGAAACGTACGTTATTCAAAATCGGATGGTTCTAGATATCGTTGTTTTATGACAATGTGAGAAACCATGCATGCAATTATGCAGATTCTTCATTATTTAATTTCTTTAAATATAATACAGGGCTCTAATATTTGTTGGCAAGAGTTACAAAAGTGAACCGACATCGTTTAGAAGCAAAAGAAATTTGGATGATTGAAGGTTCGGATATCTGGAATTTGAATAATAAAGTTCTGTCATTTGTTTACAAAATAATACGTAAAAAGACATTTTGGAAAATAAGAAAATCGATTTATTTCTTTAAATTATTACGCATGACAATTATCGAATGGTTGAAACAGCTGAAGTTTACGCGGGCCTTCATCTGAAAGTACTTTCGGTGACCGTTATGTGCGATACAGCGCCTAATGTGGAAAACGAATGTTTGAAAGTAACAACCCTACTACCGCAAACCTGAGTGGCCGAACAACTACCTTTGAACACCAGACTGAAGTTCGGCTGTGAGGCGTGCGCAGTGTAAACGTACGATGGCGGTCAATCTGTGCATGAATTGTGTGAACCAAGTTAGATAGGATACATAAGACAATAATTACGGATTATATTTTTTTACAGCCATGCCAAGGAAACTGTTAGGTGAGCTTTTAAATTTTTTTTTCTTACTTTATAAATTTGTATTCATGATATTTCGAAGAAGTGGATCGTTTGCACGGAAAATTTGTTTTTGTTTTCAGCTTTTTCAATTTTTTTTTCCCCTCGAGGAAAGTCTTGCTTAAAAATATAAATGTAATACTAAAGCCTTTGATAGTTTAAGATTCAGATTTTTAATAATTAAAATATGACTGTTTTGGCTTCACTGTCTAAGCGACCGGCAAAACCACCAGGTGTTTTAAAGGGCGTGTGTGACCGCTGCTTTTCGTGCTGGTCTAGTCACGTTCCTAGCTTGTCATCCTTTCGTTTTCACTACTGGCAACTGATTTCATCTATTTAAAGGTATTTGCTGTGGGAGTTTTGCAAGCCATAGGTTATATACCCGGCATTTTAAAGCTATCTTTTATTGTTAAGCGGTGAATGAATGATAACTGTTTCGAGATAACCGTTGCTAACGCCTTCTTGGAAGTTTTTGTTTACATTATTGACTAGCATTTAATTGGTAGCTGTAAGATAAAAGAGGGCGCGATTATGAAGAAAATTTCCTTTAAGAATTACAGATTACATTCTAATAAGAGGAAAGAAAAAATTATTTTAAAATTATCATTGTTATCATCATTTAAAAATAAAACAAAACTCTTCTTTTTAAATTCATGTAATTCAGAAAGCGGGAAAGTTTATATCCTGTGTATACTGATTTACCATTTGTTCTTAAGCTTTTGAAGGTCAGCTTAAATTATTATTAATATTTATTTAAAATGCAAACAAGAATTAAGGTATCAAAAGATACATAAATTATATAAAAATATGTGTATATGAAAACTAGATTTATAAAGTACTTGTGGAGTTACAAATGCTAACATTAAGCATTCTTTTGCATTCATAATCGCCGAAAAGTTTCATGATAGAAGAAGCATTTTGTTACATTTTTTCAAAAAATTACAGCCTTCGTTTGAAAATATTGTCAAACTGATATTGAATTTTTTTCAAATTTTGAACTTTGATGTGTTTCTTTTTGATCTATCAAACTCTTTTGTTTCCAACTCATAGGCACGTTTCCTACCAAACACTCAGTTGTGAGCTCTCATAGTTTTTTTTTATTTACAATAATGTACATTAAGTACTAGTGTTCGAACATTTTTTTCCCCTGATTTGCTTTAATGAGATGAAAAATGACGGATTCATTGTGACTTAGTCTTCTACACGAGCAGTTTATTTCTCTGTGCAGTGGAGCTATATTTACTTTGAGTTCTATATTTAGACGGAAGTTTGTAAGTTCCATATTTAGACAAAACGTTCATTTGATGTGTAAACCTAATAAGAGGAAATTACTCTGAAAAACATAAAAAAGAAACAATTCTGTATTCAATAAGTAATATATACTGTTAAAACATCGGTTACTAATTATAGTAATGTATTTCAATACATTACTGTAATTTAATTTAAATGAGTTATATAAATTATTGAAAGTAAAGTAAAACTACATAAAAAGGTAAAATTAAACTGCGTTAAGAAATGCGTTTTGTCTTTTTCATCATTGTGTTAAGAAAATGTTAAGAAATTACAGTTCGAAAATCGAAGTGTACATGAAGATCTTATATTTTGCCGAATGGCAACACTCCTGAAATCACGCTGTACGCCAGACGCGCGGTGAGCAAATTTAAGACACCATATGCCGCCCAACCGGTATAGTGGTTAGCGTTGCTGACTACCGTGCCGAAGGGTCCGGGTTCGAATCCCGGAGAAGGCATGGATGTTTGTATATGTTTAATAAAAATTTGTAAAAAACGTTTGTTGTTAATTTCAATATTAACCCTCACGGATTGGAGGAAACGGCGTTCGCCAAAGTCCTCATCATCTTTCTTCTTGTCTAAAAAGCAAGATTGATACTGATACTGATACTGAAGACACCTTATCATTTCGACCATTGGCAACTGTTGCTGAGGCAAATTGATTATATGTTTGTGGTAGCGTAAAGGATATTTCTGATGTCAATGAAAGACTGCTTTATTTATATTTAAAGCTCAGTTTCAAAAAGAGAAACAGACTTCGAAGTTGAACTGAAAGTTAGGTTTCCGGACTAAATAATTACAGTTATTTGCTTAAATTTCAAGAATGCTTTCTTTTCGAAACTAGGTGAATTGTAGTTAAAGAACTAATTTGAGAAGCCATTTTCTTTAAGCGCAAATGATATATGTATATATATTATATATATAAATACGCGCTATGCATTGAATAGATATTGAATGTAAATGAAAGTAAGCCCGATAAATGATAAATATATCTGTTTAAACACATAATAATTTATTGTAATTTTGGTGCTTTTAAACTGATGGCTTCATTTCTCAGTTTAAATCTCGACTATGTACGAAAGACAATGATAAAATTTTTAATTATTATAATGATTAGCCTTAGTTAGCACGCCAATTTATATTACTATTTATTATTAAAATATTGAATAATAATTGCATAATAGAGCACAGGTCAGTTCCGTCTTTACAGTATTATGAAACCCCTATCTAATCAGTATACCGAGCCCCTACGACAACCACTCATAGAAATATGGAAAGTGGACGAAAAAACGGATTAATAATTGGGTCTGTATTCATGTGGTGCCCCCGGGCAAATGGCAGCATACTCAGACATGAATATTTAAAATGTGAGTAGAATTTCGAACATTATTGTAAACGCTTTGAGAGAGCTACATATTTGTTGAAAGCTATAATTTATGTAATTGCAGGCGTAAGTTTTTGAGTTTTATTTATCAAGTAAACTAATGACTTTTAATTAAAATTAAAGACTAAGTGGGCACATTAAAATACGATTCATTTTTTGGGGAAAAAAACGCGTTTTACTTCACAAGCTTCTTTTTTACCGCAGGAATTTTTCCGTCAGTAGTTACAATGTAATCTTGACTCCTCTGTCTTAGCGCCTGAAAAGCACGTCACGGATAATTGAAAAATATAGATAATTCGGTCTATTACTTTTCACGCATATTGTGTTTATTTCTGTAAAAAAAATCAATAATTTTATGTTGCTATTGAGAAGTTTAAAATATTTGTTGAATTTCACTGGGTAATTTTTGAAGTGTTATTTCGTCATTGTATTCGAATCTCTTTGGTCGACAAAGTCCTCCTCGTAGAGCTTCAACAGAAATCATTGTTGTTTTGGAATTAATTTAGTTATTAGTATTTTCTTCATCTGCATTTTCAGTCTGCAGTTATTGCCTCGACTTCTTCACGATTAAATAAATATCCGATTTCTACTTAAATATATTTTACGTAAATTTACCTATGGATATTCGAGAGTACACTAAATGTTTCAATTTTTGTGAAGTATTTAGTGAATATGACACGTTTATGTTAAGTATTTAAAATATTTTTTAAAACAATGCAAATTCTGTGCATTGCGGAGTTTTTTTTTTTTTTTTTTTAAATTACTCAGAATTTAAAAAAAAAGAGAATGCGTGGATATATGTAAACTTCCTTGGTAATGTTTGGCTGTAATGTAATACTAAATTTAAATTAAACTAATAATATTTTAGTGTGTAAAGTTTCTGTTAAATAATAAATATAAAAAACGTATTTATTAGTTTAAAGTGCTTTAATTTAATTTTAAAAATAAAAAAATGTATTCACTTTTTATTTTTACACTCATTGATCGATGCATGACACCTTTTAAGGTGTCTTCGTGGGGAACATTTTTAAGGGAAACGGGCTCGTATCCGCGTTACGCATGACCTCTGGTTAGGAACCATTGTTCCGAAAACAACTGACTGCAATTAATAGCACCGATGATTTTTATTCTTACAGCTGATAATTATGATTTGGTAAACTCAGAGGACACTTAGGTATGCTTTCTTGAGGGGCCTATATAAGGGCTAAATTTGATACGAGTATATCATAGCACAAGAGGGCACCTGTCTAAACGGAAGAGTGTCTCTGTGAATGCCTTTTTAAATGGAAACTGGCATCGTATTCATGTTATATATGGGTGAAACCATGAAAATTCTTGTGCAGCCTGCTTGTTCCCTAGATTTTGAACTCAAAATGAGCTACTAATGTTCAGAGATTTTAACATTGTGCTGTACTGACAATGCGAAAACCCATATATCCCGACCGTTCGTCAGAAATGAACTCAGTCCGAACTGCCAAGTTCTTAGCTGGTCTGGCCAATTGTTTGTTCCTGGTTGTAGCTTTATTCTTATAAAAATTTGTAGTGGTAGCATTAATGGTATACCGGGCATTCTAAAATCGGTCTATTTTTCAGTTTGGTTGACACATTTGGCTGTTTTCCTGACGCTTCTAGATATTTATTTAGTTATGTGAAATTCAACGTAATTTTTGAATTTGTCCTGTGCAGATTGTTATTTTATATCATATGTGATGACAGTGAAGGAATTAATCATCAAATTGCTTGAGTTCCGTTTAATTAAATCTCCAGAATAAAACTTCGGATGTCATTTGTCTCCTAACTCCTGAAATGTCTGGCTGTGACCGTGAAAACAGGCAATGAAATACATTTTTCACATTGTCTGCCTTTACTTGGCTAAATACCCAAATTTCAGAGGATTGGCTCAAGTATATTGCAGTAATTAATTGGGAGATATTTCCTGTATTACTAGTTTCAGTGCAGCAGCCCTGAGTTAGGAGGAAATACAGATTACAGTAGATTATTTTTCTATGTTTAAATTCCTTGAAGTCAACAAGAATCTGCTAGTTAAAGGAAAATAATTCATTTTCTTTGGAAAGGAAAGATTTGAGAAAATGTCTCGAAAGTTAAGAAAGAAGTAACATCAGGTTTTCAGAAGTTCTTCCTGTATTGATTGACGTAATTACTAATGTATGTGCAGTAAAATATTTCTAATTCTTTAAATAAAATCTTAAACTTTTTTTGATTATTTATGCCATGAAAATATTGACCATTCGATTTTTGGCATTATCTATTGCGTTCAATCTTTAATATGAACAATAATTCATAGAGAT